GTGAGATTTCAGAGAAAGAGAATTTTGTGAGATACGTTTAGTTTGTGATTACAGGAGATGTGTTGCTGACTTTATAATACAATTGACACAAAAAACTTAAACTTTCTCGTGAGTACAATAATACAAAGCAGAGACTTTCTCGTGACACAATAATACAATTGACACAAAAAAACCAAACTCGTGAGTATAATAATACAAATCAGAGTCTTTCTCGTGACACAATAATACAAAACTAGACACAACAAGATGAACACGAGCACTCCTTAGCTGACCTGAAACATGACACAACAACCACAACAATGACAATCCGTGACACACTAAACAACACAAGTCCGTGATGCTCCACTGCACCTGAAACAAGCACGTGTTGGATTAATATTTAGACAAGCACATATAGATTAAGACAAGCACATATATGCATGAACACAAGGAAAACAAGTACATATAGATTAAGACAAGGAAAACAAGTACATATAGATTAATATTAAGACAAGGAAAACAAGTACAACAACTAATCAGACATACATAAACTAATCCGACATACAACAACTTATTAAACATACTTATTGAGGAAAACAATCCTTGATGAGTTTCTTTTTTAGGCTTTCTTCCTACTCTGGAAGCGGTTCTCTTTTTGCAATCAGACTCTCAAGCACCTTCAGTTTAGCCACTCTTTCCTTCATATCCAAATCATGTTTTTTGATGGCCCACATTGTCTGAAACTAAGAGACCTCCTTCTCCTCACCGATGGGCTTTTTACCCCGGGCTTTTGCAGATTTAACACCTGGGGGACGATTACTTCCTTCATCATCTATAGCACTGTCTGTTTCTGTGGCTTGAGAGCTTGCTGACTGTGAACTTTCGTCACCCTTCCTCTTCTTGGAGCTGCCATCTTTTTTGGCCGTGGAAAGGGCACACCACTTCTGATCATATCTTAACTCCCTCCAAGCGTGCTCAAGTTTAAACCTTTTTTTATGGTTGGCGGTGAAGATATCGTGGGCATCATTGAGAACATTATTCTCATTATACCCACTACCTGTTGCTCTGGTTGCGGCCTCATATGCTCCAGCAAACTTCGACACTAAGTCATTGATCTTGTACCATCTCTGCTTGCAGTGAGATGGCTTTCTTTTTTCACGGCCATCAAGCTTAGGATTAGCCGCAAAAAATTCGTGTACTCTCTTCCAAAAAGCTTCAGACTTTTGTTCGTTCCCGACAAGGGGATCTTTACTCGTTTTAACCACGAGCTGATCAAGACTATGTCATCGGTGATAGTCCAGGAAATTCGTTCCTTACGCTCTAGAGGAGTGTCTACACCTAAGGAAGTAGCTTGAGTTCTAAGAAAAGGAATAGAAGGAGATTCTACACCTAGGGGAGTATCTTGTTGACTTTGAAGAAGATCAGCGAAATTTAGATTCATATAAGAATTGGAATCCATATCTAAAATTGTTTAAGAATAGAAGAGGAATTCTGTTTGTTACTTGGAAGAGAACAAGTTCTCTGTTTTATAGCAGAGTAAAAGACGAACCATGAATGCCAACACACAACCAATTCGAGTAGACATTTACCTAACAATCACTTCTAGTTTTAACTCATCCACCACCTCCATTTATTACACCACACAACTGTATTCTAACCCACCACAGAAGAGTACAACTCACAATTTAACCAGAAAGTTAATATTTTTAACTTTCACTTCATTCATAATAAAGATCAAACGCAACACTAGCTAAACTTTTTTCAATTCAACGAGACTAAGCTAAGCATTTTCCAACAAGAACATCGCTTCTATTTAATACCAACACCAAAATGACTTGACATTTATCTATTAACCACATCATTAATTACACACGGTTTAATTCATCAGAGAATCAAAGATGTTAAGACCAATTCAGAGAGTAACCTAAATCAATGTATTTCGTAGAGTAACACAAGCTATATCAAAGAAGCTAAATCAATTATGTTCGGTTAACACTAAATCAATGCATTTCATTCCATTTCAAAAGAAGAAGATAAACAGTTCATAATCTAACCTGTATACACTGATGGAGACCTTTGTTCGATGAACCTCTCATGTCTCTTCCCATACAACAACTCCATCTCCTTTGCCAAAGACAAACAGAAAGAATGAATCAACACGAAACCAACAAAACCGTACATGTATTCATGTCTGGAAAAGAAACCGTAAATGTATTCATGACTGTCAAGCACAAAAGGTAAATGTATTCATCTCTACAGAACAAATGATACAGAACCGACCACAAAACCAAATTCAATCTAGAGACTTTTTAACAAGAATAAACAGCCAAAAACCAAATCAGAATGGATAAACTAGCACCACAACAAACCAATCAATCTAGATACATAACCAACCACAAAAAAATTCAATCTAGAGACTTTTTAAATCAAAATCTGAAACATGCATGACTGAATAACAAGAAATCGAAGCTTAACCTTTTGGATTCAGGAGAGGAGGGGAGCGCCGTCTGAGAGAGTGAGAGAGAGAGAGAGAGAGAGCAGGACGGACAGGTCCGTCGAGGAGACCCACGGCGGGGGTGAGAATCACGGTGGAGAGCCACGGAATCACCGTTTCTTCGAGGAACTACGGAGTGAAAAATAATCGTTTTCTTCGTCGCCACACAGAGAGAGAGCTTCCAGAGAGAGAGAGAGAGAGTGTTTCGAAAGAGAGAGGAGGCGAAACGAAGAAGAAAGGACCGCCACTTCTGTCATCCCTCACGCCAACACGTGGCTACAAGAGGCGACTCCCCTTCTCTTAATTAAGACACGGTTGCACGGTAATTACATGTTTTTTCTTTTTCTTTTAACCGAAATTATGATAAGGAACGGGGTTAGATCCCCCGATAATCCTGCTCTAAAAGACATCAGCAACAACCCCATTCACCATACAAACTTGACCCCAAATCAAATTTACTTGACCCGGCCTGTATGGCCACTACGCAACACGCGAATGGATGAATCTCAAATTATTGTAATTGATGAAAGGGGAATTAGGGGACATATACATAGTAGAAAAAAATACTAAGTCTATACACATAACAAATAGATGGCTATGATATTTTGTATATATTATGTATTATTGACAAAATTGTCCTTCGTTGATAGTGATGCTCACAAACCCTCATGGCCAAGATTTTCAATGGAATTGGAGAGGTTATCGACGCTGCGGATTTGCTTCCCCGATTTCAAGTTATTTTATGTGCCTAGGGCGCAAAATGATGTGTCTGATTTTTTAGCTAAGACTGCCCGATCTTTCTATCGTGATTTGTTGTACGTTAGTTGTTCTATTCCGGTCTGGGTTCCCAGACCACCTGAAGCTTGAGTAATAGATCAACCTGTTGATGTCAAAAAAAGACAAAATTGTCCTACGCATGATATTTTTTTTTCTTTTTTCTTCTTTGTCTCATTTTTTTCTGTCTCCTTCGTTGCCTTCATTTTTTTCTTTTCTTTCCTTCATCTTTCCTTTCTTCTTTCTTTCCCTCTTTATTTCTTTTGTTTGAGTTGATTAGGACACTTGAGATATAAGATTATAATATTTTTTAGTTTTATTGTGTTCTATGAGTTGAATGTGTTTTCTTTTGTTTCCATTAGTTAGTATAGTTGATAATAGGTGATTGTACTATCAAAATGAAATTCATATTTAGAGAAGATAAACAATGTTAATACTACACTATTGGGAGATTGAATAGAAAAAGTACAAACGTGTATTGTGTTTGTTGTTATTTCACTTGTAACATGGACACCACCTCCCCAATCATATGTTTCATCATCACTACTATATTTTTCTCCATCATTGTCATTTCCCCCATCTATTTATACCTTTTTTTTCTTCTATCCAACTCTTCTAGTGGCTTTTTTCAAAATTAGAGTATACTATTCTATTTATAAATATAGTATAGTTTTCCTTCTCCTCCTTTGAGAATTAGATCAAACTTCTCATAGTATTTACCGAATAATACAAGATATTGTCTATTCTAAAGTAGTAATAGTTTTGTATCTCTCTCGCCTTCTGCTTCTTCTCCACCATTGTCATTTACCCCACTTATTTGCACCATTTTATCTTCTATTTAACTCTCTTAGTGGATTTTTTTAATTACAGTATAAGAAAACTGCCGGATACCAACAGAAAAAACCGTCGGAATTTGGTCAGGAAACATGAATTCCGACAAAATCCTGACGAAAACAGCCGTCGGTATCATCTCGTCGGAAAAAGATATCCGTCGGTAATTCCTCAGAATTTTCCGACGGAATACCGACGAGCAAATTTCCAACGAAACACTGACGGAATGTTTATAGGAAATATAAACTGACCGGGTCGTAGTCGTCGGTATTTAGCTAATTCTCGATGGAAAACTGACAAAAATTATCCCTCAGGATTCAGAAGCATTTACCAACAGGCTCAAGTCGTCGGAAAATTTTAATAAAATCGACGGACACAAGCCATCAGAAAATTTACAAAACCGACAGACAGTTGCAGTCGGGATTTTACGAATATCCCGACAAACCGTTTGCGTCGGTATGTTTAATATTTTCTGACGACTTTTGCACGTCGGGAATATATTTTTATTATAAGAAAAAATTAAGATTCTAAAAATAAATTAAAAAATGTAAAATTCAATGCTAATTAAAAATTTAAAAACATTAGTAGTTATAATTTAAAATTATACAAAAGTTTTTAAATATAAAACAACTACAAATCTTCACCGAAGCGGTTCTGAAACTTCTTCAACAAGCTCTGTGTGAGAGCTATGTTATCTTCCAACGCTGTCTTGTTTTGCTGAAGCTCAACCCATTTCAGCATTGTCATTCTTCATGAATGCAATCTCAAATCTTTGGTCTTGATCTGCTCCATAAGGTCATCAACGGGTGGGTATACATGAGCTGAAGAAGAAGAAGTCCCTCCGATTGGACGACCCAACCCAACATAACAGCCTTTCTTCTTTGGAACCGCCTGCGGAATGAAAATCACATATGTACACAAATTAATTCCAAAAAAAATTAAGATGTACCTCGAGAACAAGGTTGTTGAGTTGCTCTACGATTATGGTGTTGGAAGAAGCGCAAGATCCGTCTTCACACATAGAAGCCTGAGTGGAAAGGATCTCTTCTTTTCGACTCTCCACGAGCTGGAGTACCTCCTTGATAACTGGATCCTGGATCTCACCAGTTTTTTTATTGGTGTAGGTGGACCTCAACAACTTAGAATCATCGACGGGAACCTCGCTGTTTTCCTTCCTCTAAAAACAATACAAATTAGTAACAAGTATTTAAAATTTAATAAGAAATTAAAATTCTAAAAACTTACTAGCTGAAGTGCTCGGGTCACTAAACTCGTCGCTCCTAAGTTGTGGACATAAGCCCCTTTCCCGCCGCGCTTACTACACCGATTACCCTAGTTGGTTTCTGACCAAGACTTTGTATCGTCTTTCGCCCAATGAGCCAACAAATCCTTCCAAACAGTTGGGTTCATGTTCTTCGGTACCTGGTCAAGTTCCCACTTTTGCTTCCACTCATTGATACGCTTGGTGTAGTGCTGAGCCGCTTTCTCATGAAATTTAAGTTCCACCCGTTTTGTTAACCCCAATTCCCAAGTGAACTCTTGCTGCAAAATAAATACAATCAAATTAAAGAGTTGCAAATATAAGACTTACAAAAAAATTAAAATTGAGAACTCATACTGCAAATTGATGAAACCAGAGGTCGCGATCTGCCGTAGGCATGTCGTAGTAAGTAGGATAACCACGATTTAGCAAGTTGTACTCCATCCTAAGAAGACTCTGAGATTATTGCCAGACATATTCAAACCTGCGAAATAAAATCAATACAATTAATAGTAGAAGTTGAATATAAAATGAAACAAAATCTTAGAGAGATATTTACCATGTTGTGTTTGGGACATATAGAAAATTTGGATCGAGGCGCGTGAGCGAGTCTCGGCCAGGTTGACTAACCAACTCCTCAATGCTCATCACAGTGGGCAATACTCCTCTTGAGCTTTCCAAAGTGGGAGTGTGGGCTGGTGGAGGGGTGCGGGATGATGGAGCGGTAGCTGAAACAGGACTAGCAGCGGGTGCAGTAACCGGAGGGCCGAACTACTACCACCACCCGGGGCCGAATTACTACTACCAACCCAAGATTGGGAATGACGTCTGATTTTAAGTGTAAGAGGAGGAGGTTCATCCCTTGAAAAAAAAATGTGGTTAGTTAATAACAATTATAAAACAGTAAATATAAAACAAACAGAAGATAAAAAAAAAATATTGATAGTTTATAATTAAACATGTTTAACTTATCTTATAATAATTTAGAAAATATTTTTGAAAACGTTTTTATTTGTTCCAATATATATAATATGAAAAAAAAATTCTTAATATTTAAATAATATGAACGTTTTTATTAATATTTAAATATATGAAAACGTTGTTCTTAATATTTAAATAATATGGAAACGTTTTTATTAGTATTTAAATATTATGAAAACTTTTTTATTTGTATTTAAACAATATGAAAACCTATTTTTAACATATAAATAACATGAAAACGTTTTTCTTAATAAATATTTTCGGGTTTTGGAAAAAAAACATGCAAAATCAATCTTTCAATCACAAAAAAACCTAATATAAACTTCAAACCATAGTTCTAACATCAATCCCGGCCCTAATCTATGTCTACATTCCTAATCTAACTTCCAAATCCCTAATCAATCTTTCAATGACACAAACCGTAAAAAATCTAACTTTGAAACATCTAATAACCCTAAACAAAGTAATTGGGAGAGGAAACTTACATGATTAGGAAGAGAGAGTGAAGAAAGCGCCGGAAGAGATGGAGAGAGGCTTTTCTCCGTTGGCGGCAGAGAGAGCTTCGACGGAAGAGAGAGAGAAAAGGGAGAAAAATGGGGGAAGAAAGAAGGGTTTTTGGTTTAAGTATGTACAAGAAAATACCGACGGAAAAAGGCCGTCGGTATAGACGGGTTTGGGCAGTGAAACAAAACTTTAGCACGGTCTTTCCCATTTTTTTTTGGTATACCGACGGAATATTCCGTCAGTAATTTGTCGGGAAACTCTATTCATCGGTAACTCGTCAGAATATACCGACGAAATACTGACGGATTGTGGTTAAATTCTTTAAAAACTTGTTTAAAAATTGATTTACAAATTGTTAAATGCCTTTTGTATAGATACATTATATTATATAATCATAAAAATTATCAAAAAAATTAAAATTAATTAGAGGAGTATAGCTTGTGCAATCAAGCATAACCCACATTAAAGTGTATGACTTTATATGTTACAGTTTCGATTCGATGATTAATAATTCATGTTCAAAATGTTAAAATGTGAGGATTTTATGGTATGATTCATTTTATGAGCTTATATATGATCCCTAATCCTTTTGAAAACAAAACCCATACCCTGTAACCAAAGTAAACTCCAAATTTCTTTAGTCCGTCGGTTTTCCATCGTATTTCCAGACGGACTGCCGACGAAACCCTCAAAATTCTTATGTCTGTCGGTATTCCGTCGGTAAAATACCGACGGAAAACCGACGAAAACCTCAAATTCTATAGGCCGTCGGTTTTCCGTCGGTATTTCCCCGACGGATTTCCGACGAAAAGCTCAAAGTATTAAGTCCGTCGGTTTTTCGCCGGTATTTTCTAACAGATTTCCGACGAAATCTCAAATATTTTTGTTAATTTGTTTTTAAAATAAGTCTACAATATTTATAACCTCATTTCCATATAATTTGTTTTTAAAATAAATCTACAATGTTTTTTTTTTTTTTTTTTGTCACTGAATACTTCATTAGAAATTTAAGAAGAAGAAATGAGCCCAAAACGATGGCTCAAATCATAATATCTGTTACAAAGAGAAGTAGACTTAAAAGCCTTTTTGCTAAAGCGAAGGCAACTAGAAACATGGTAGAAAGAAAATGATGCAATCCAGAGGAGATCAATCGGATGTCTTTCACAATTCCGATGATTTCTTTTGACTGGAAATTGCCAAAGATAGCTCTGATGAGCGTTAATTTGTCGGAGAAAACCTTGAGTGTCGAAAACTCCAAAGTTAGCGCCTTGCAAAGTGTCGACCGAATCGCGATGACCTCTGCACTAAAGGGTGAGCTGACGAAGCTTTCTGAAAACCAAAGTCCTGATTGACTTAATTTTTCACTGAAGAACATGAGCGGTGGTTTAGAAACTAAATTGGAAAAGCTCTGAAACTGGGCTATGTGAACCCGTAAAACAGATGTGAAAGGCTCTCCATAGCCAGAATTTGGACCAGGTCCACTAAAATCAACACAATCTACAATGTTTAAAACCTCAATTCCATATAATTTGTTTTTAAAATAAATCTTCAATGTTTAAAACCTCATTTCCATATAATTTGTTTTAAAATAAAGCTACAATGTTTATAACCTCATTTCCATAAATTTTGTTTTTAAAATAAATCTACAATGTTTAAAACCTCAAATCCATATAATTTGTTTTTAAAATAAATCTACAATGTTTACAACCTCATTTCAATATAATTTGTTTTTAAAATAAATCTACAATGTTTAAAACCTCAATTCCATATAATTTGTTTTTAAAATAAATCTACAATGTTTAAAACCTCATTTCCATATAATTTGTTTTAAAAGAAATCTACAATGTTTAAAACCTCGATTCCATATTATTTTTTTTAATAGAAATATACAACGTTTAAAACCTCAAATTCATATAAAACGTTTAAAATTAATTCGCAAATACATTAATAAAAGATCTACTCTGCATCTGTGGGATTATCTGATGATAAACATGATGAATCTGAATCGTCTTCGTCAAACTCTCCAATCTCGCCATCCTCTTCGGTTAATCGTTGTTGTAGTGGATCAAATACTCTTTGTTCGGCTTCTAGGATTTATTGACATCACAACGATCCAAGGATCGTTCTTTTGCCTAATCCGCGGATAACGAATATAGCAAACCTGAAATATCATAAATTATATAAGTCGAAGTAATTATATATGATTATTTTTGCTGGAAAATATGTTTCATAAAATACATACCTGGTCAGCTTGTGAAGCAAGAATGAATGGATCGTAATAATCCAGTCATCGTCGCGAATGTACAGACGTAACACCGAATGTGTCAGTGCTTACTCCGCGACCATCAACGTTGTCGTACCACTCACAGTAGAAGACAATATATCTCATGCCAATCATTCATGGGTACTGGACTTCTAAAATCTTGCGTACGTTACCGTAGTACACATCGTCTCCAGATGACGAAGAAACCCCACAATCAACTATTCTCCTCGCAGTATTTTCCTTAAGAACTCTGAATGCATATCCTCGAGTGCAATATCTCGGATATGACTTCGCAACAAATTTTGGACCACAAACTATCTCAAGTAACCAATCTTTAGGTGGGTGCTCAATAGCTAAACAATGGCTTACCTAGCTATAAATAGAAAGATGCTCCATAACACCGACGGATTACTGACGATTATGTCCTTTCATCGGTATTTCGTCAGTATTTACCAATTTTTTTCAACGGTCATATTTTCGTTGGTATTTTGTCGGTTTTGTGTCGGGATTATATTACCGAATACCGACAAACCTACTCTGCCGGGATATTCCGACGGAATTCCGACGAAATTACCAAAATTAGTTTCCGACGATTTTTTATCGGATATTCGTCGGAATTTTCCGTGTTTTCTTGTAGTGTATAATACTATTTTATTTATGAATATAGTATAGTTTTTCTTCTTCTCCTTTGAGAATTGAGAACTAGATCAAACTTTTTATACTATTTACCGAATAATACAAGATATTATCTATTCTAAACTAGTAATAGTTTTTTATTTCTCTCCTCCTGACTATTTTCCTTCACTACTCTATCAGCTCCTCCACCCACCATGCGTCCCCCTCGTGCTCTTCTCCTTCCCCACCTGCCTCTTCCTCCTCCTATTCTCCCTTTCGCCATGTTTCCTCTTCCTTCTTATCTTCATATCTATTCTTCCCATTTTCTTCTCCTCTTCATATCCTTCCCGCGTCCTCCTTTTCCTCTTCTCCCTCCCCGCCCCACCTCTTATTCTATTAATTGGGTTGACTAGAACAGTTGATAATGGGAAGCTGTAATATGTATCAATCATTATTGTGTTTAGTGGATTAGGTTGTTCTCTTTTTCTTGGATTGATTAGCTCTATTGATAATTGAAGATTTTAATATGTTTAGTATTATTTGTTTATATATTCCACATGTTCACCACATTTGGTATTCTGTCTATATGTCATCTTGTTTATACTATCCGATGTAACTATTAGCATTTTTATTTTCTATTATATTATAGCTCTATAGAATATAAATGTAATATCATAATATATTATATTTATCATCATATTGGTACAATAAATATAAGATTCTATACTATTTGTTAGATAAATATAGTATAGTATAATTGCACAGTTGTATATCTTTTTTTTAATGCAATCTCACGCGCGACAAAGGAGAAAGTTGCGCAAAACTGTCACATCTCAGAGAGTACTTTAATACATGGTTACTTTTCTCATCTGTCCATCGGCACAAATAATCTAATGGCATTCTTTTCTTCATATTCCATCATTTCTTATAGTACGATTTGTTGTGTTTCGCAGAATTAGATTTTTCTCCAATCTTACCATATAAAGTATGATTGGTTATCTAAGAACCTGGTTAGAAACCAACCGTTCACACTGTTTCTAGTTGGTGTAACAGTTGGGTTGAATAATAATAGTGTGGGGGA